TTGGGCAAAAAAAAACTGCTCTTGCCTTGATTGCTGACAGTAAGCATTATGTCCAATCCAGACAAACAGGACACAAGGAAAAGTAACTGCCAAACATTGCTGAGGCAGGATAGGACAGTCCCTCAAAATTTCCTGCTTCTGAAAATGGTCTGTTAGATATTCTAGGGCTATAAGCCAAGGTTGGAAGCCCCAACATCACAGAAAAATCTTGGGTGACTGTCCAGGCAGCCAGCTGTTCTGTCATCTTCTTGCAATTTTGGAAATCACTTGTCTGAACTTCCTGCTTACGTGGGTATTATATTTTTTCTCAGGTCTTTAGTGGGGTTGAAGACTACATAGTTACAGTTATAATCCTCATGAATCTTAGCTAAGGACATATAAGGTACAAACTTAGAGTCTTTAAGAAAGGGCAACTATTAAAGCAATCTCTATAAAGATTGCCTTTTACCTACAGTCTGGACATCTAAGATATAGTTCTTACTTGATATGGTTCTTTTTTTGTTGTTTTTGTTTTTTTGGTTTTTCAAGACAGGGTTTCTCTGTAGATAACTCCTGGAACTCACTCAGTAGACCAGGCTGGCCATGAACTCACAGAGATCTGCTTGCCTCTGCTTTCCTAGTGCTGGGATTAAAGGTGTATGCCACCACCACCTGGTTTATAGTTCTTATTGTACATAGTTTTATATAAGGATTAGAACCTTCCTTTTTATTTTAGACTAACGGGGGAAATGTTATGAGAATTCGATCAGACAGCAAATTGTATTGGGGTGGTTTGGCCCTATGGGCGTGGTCTTCTCTGGGTACGTGACTAGGTAAGAACTGAAGGTGAAGATCATGCTTGTTCTTCCTGGAATGGTGTGGGAGCTGGAAGAGCTATGGCTTAGAGTTCCCCTTGGCCATTTGGGAATGAGGTTATGACTCTGAAGCATAGAGCTTGTTCCCTACTGGGATCATTAGAGCAGCTGGTGACACAACCCAGATTTCTCCTTCTGTCTTGTAATTATCGTGCATGGACTTGATATTAATAAAAGGTAACACAATCCCCAGGTTTCCCGCTTTAGGCTGTCTCTTGGCATCCGATTCCTTCTCTTTTCAGATGCCTGGCTTTCATGGGAGATGCCCACATCCATGTGTAAGGACACAAATAGACACTCCCAGGTCCACTGCCCTCACTTCTGCATGCATCAGCTGAGCAACCAATCTGTCTTGTTTGCTTTCTGTTGCTGTGAGAAAGATCATGACCAAAAGCAGCCTGGGGAGGGAAGCGTTTATTTGGCTTACATATCCTGGCACACAGTCCATAGAGGAACACAGTTCCAAGGCAGGAACTCAAGGTAGGAACTTGGAGGCAAGAACTGAAACAGGGACCCTGGAGGAAAGCTGCCTACTGGCTTGCTCCTCCTGGCTTGCTCAGTTTGCTTTCTTATTATACAATCCAGGACCACTTGCCCAGGGAGGACACCAATCACAGTGGGCTGTCCCTTCCACACCAACTATTAATTAACAAAATGCTCTTGTTAATTAATTAACAAAATGCCTTAACAAAATGGCATACCTACATGCCAGTCTTTTGGATGCATTTCCTTAATTGGTTCCCTCTTTCCAGATAACTCTGGCTTGAACGAAGTTGACAAAAAAACTGACTGCTCAGTTTTCTAGGCACTAGAAGAGGAATCCAGGACTTCACCCATACCAGGCAAGTGCTCTGAGGCACATCCCTGACCCTCAGTTTTTTTAAAATCAAGATATAAGTGTTTCTTTATGAATACATTGCAGTGACTGATCGCATGCATCCTATAATAATCAAACCAGAGCAATGAACATGCGTCTCTCAGGCTGGCATTTTTGGTGCATGGGGAACCTCACACTCAAGTAGCACTAGACAATCCACTGTGTTGAGCAGAAGCCACTGCCCGTGGGCTGTGCTTTGGCGGTGTTACAGCCTGTGTCTTCCCCTCACCTTCTTTGTGACCAGCCTCCCAGTGGCACTGCTGGGGGACAATAGGGCTGTCCCTTCACGCAGCACACTCTCAGGGGGTTTCGGATTTGAGTTTTTAAGATAGTTTCTAATTTAATTGCTGTTTATAGCAGAGAGAGCTAAATCGCTTGCTCTAGGCCATGTGGTAAAGAAAGGAGGGATTCAATTCTAGCTTAGCTTCAGAATAAGGGAGGAATGAAGAGGAGAGGGGAGAGGATGAGAGGAGAGAAGAGCGGAGGGAAGGTATGGGGAGGGTGGAGAGGGAAGGAGAAGGAAGAGGGAGAAGGGTCTCATACTCAGAGGTATCCATCTAACCTGTGCTCTAAGGGGCTTTGCAGAACTCCCCTGAAATAGGGACCACTGTCCCCATCACAGGCAAGCAAGCTGAGACTGAGAAAGTCTCCCTCAGTGAGTGACACAGTTGAGATTTGGCCCCCAGGTCTTGTTTGTGTCACCTCACTCTGGCCTCTGACAATGGGGGGTTACGGGATTCCACAGTTTTCTGGCCTCCAGAGTCTCAGAGCCGCCGCCTTGGTGATGGAATCAGAGAAAGATGGATTCTTCAGTGTACTCTGGAATGTAGCACTGGGTGTGTGTTTTGGGTGTAGGCGCCCAAGGAAACCAGGGAAGCTTGCCATTCAACCCCTTTCATAGAGGGCAGATGAAGGACTGTGGACATTCCATCTACAGAGGCCAAGGAGAGCTGACCAGTGTAATCCTCACAACAGTAAATAGAGTCCTGGCTTTGGGGGAGCTGGTTACCTCTGCCTGAGGTGGGGATTGCTAGCTTTGCAGCCCTCCTGAGATGGACCAGGTCACGGCAATGGCTGGTTCTCTGATCCAAGCATCATGCAATCTAAGACAATTGCTGGGGATTCATGAACCAATGAGCACGTTAGAAGTGGTCACTCGGGGACTCAGGTGTTAGTGGATTTGGATCCTTTTACTGATGACCTTTGGCCTTTGTTTGTTTGTTTGAGACAGGGTTTCTCTGTGTAGCCGTGGCTATCCTGGAACTTGCTCTGTTGACCAGGTTGACCTCAAACTCTCTGAGATCCTCCTGCCTCTGCTTCCCGAGTATTGGAATTAAAGGCCTTCACCACCACCACCCAATGGCCTTAGATGCACAGAACACTTAAGGGGGAAATACAAAGGGCTCCCGTCTAGCCCCTGCTGTCCCTATAGTTTACCTTTCTCCAGAATGTCACAGGGAGGTGCTCACAGTGTCACCTTTCCAAACCAGCTCCTTTGACTTAGTAACAGGTATATGCTCTCAGGACCTTCTCTGTGACCTCTGTATATTCATTCATTCGTCCAACCTCTCATGTGCTCAGCAAACAGTAACCATGGGGGGCAGTTCTCAAGCAAAGAACTATATAGCCCATGAGCAGATATATACAGAGGGGCAGTTCCCATCTTCATTCTGCAAGCCCAGGATTCTTGGCAGGTATACAGGACTCTCCCTTGCACCACGCGGTCCCTTGCTGGCCACAGCTGCACAGCAGAGAGGGGGCAGCCCCAATGTCACCCTCAGACACCCCGAAATGTCTGTCCAGCCAGTCACTGCATTAGCAGAGGTCATACGGTCCATCTATTCTGGGCTTGGTCCCCTTTGTTCGGCATCTGATGGATTCCCTGTAGAGCAGTCTCCTCACATTGGCTCAATCAATCCTTCTAGCTTTCCCTTATTTAAAGGTGGCAGAGCCTGAATTCCCATAGTTATGGGATTCCCTGGGCGATGTACACAAGACATTGGTGAGGTTGTTGTCTCCTCCAGACTCTGTTTCCCCATCGGTGCTGGGGGCCATGAAGAGTGTGGTTACAGAGGCCTTTTTAATACACCGAGCTGGAGTGTAGATATTCAGGGTAGAATTGGCTTGAGTTCCTAGGGTTCCCTGCCAGGCAAGCACATGTGCTTTTCCACTTTTAATATTTTCTCCAGCAAGCGGAGGAAAAGAGCAAACTCTAAGTTCCTGATACTCACAATTGTGTGTGTGTGTGTGTGTGTGTGCCCCATTACCCTCACTGCTGTTGGGGCACAGGAGGGGCATCAGTTCCCCTACAAGCCCTTCTAGGACACTGAAGGGCTAGGAGTTGTGGCTGGCACGGCACCACATCCACACCCAGCCAGAGCTCCTGCTTCCTGTGCACTGCTTGAGAGAGCCACCGGCAGCTTGTGACTCAGGAAGGCACATTCTAACCTGCCTAACCCATGAACATCACCGCGGCCACCCCACACAGGCTACCGACTACCAGCTCAGCAATGGGAGTCGCAAACCACACGTGTAACATGTCCCAGGAGGACCAGATTTCTGTCTCTGCATTAAAAGGAGTCACTGAGTCTTCTCTGGGGCCCTGGCCCTGTAATACAAAACCTTCACCAACAATGTCACCCACGGGACATGGAAGCAGAGCTGGGACTCGAACCCAAGATAACACACCAAGCTCACCCATGGCCACCACCTTGAAGAAAAACCAGGACAGGAGTGACACAAAGCCTTTGCGGATTAAAGCCGCCGCCACCGACACAGATGGGGCACATCAGCCTGTGGAGACAAAGTCTCTTTACTGTCTTAACCTTGGCTCCAAGGAGCAGTCGAGCCCATTTTACAGACGGAGAAAGCAAGACTCAGACATTACAGAGACTCTCAAGGGACCATCAGTGGCCCAGTGAGTGCTACTCTCATGACGCCTGTCCCGCAGCTGCCTTGCACTGTGCTGCGGAATTCCTGCTTTAGCCCATGATGTCCACCTGGAGCCTATAAAACTCAAATCACCGGCCACTCGCGGCGGCTTGGGGTCGGGGGGGAGATGAGCTGGAACCGACAGGGAAAATCCTCCTAAGTAATTGTAACTCTTCCTCCAGCTATTTGTCAGATCTAGGAGAGGACGGGAGCCTTCCTCCCACTCCTCAGGACCATAGAACCTCCGGGAGCCTGGGACTTGTTCCAGCCTCTGACCAGGACCTCTCTGTGCTGGGACATTTGGGCTCTCCATGGACTAGCTCCTGCTGGACACTCACCTTTTCTGGAGCAAGTGGTGTCTGTGTTCCAGCGAGTCCCTTGGTCCAGGTCCAGCGACTGCCTGTCTTGTGCGTCCCGGACAGTCCTGCTCTGTCTTCTGAGGAGCTGAGCTGGAGTGGCACGGGAGAACAGCTCATCTTTCAAGGGCTGGACGCTGATGTCATCACTCTCCTGGGCACTCCTCCCTCCACCTCTAGCTCAGCTCAAGCTCCCAGCCCAGCCTGGGGAGCAGCAGCAGCAGCTCCCAGCTGCGATGTGTATGGACCCTCCCAGTTGTGGGGCGGGGGGAGGGGGGGATTGGGATGGCCACAGGTAGCCTTCCATTTGTGCAGACTGTTGACAGGGAGCCTGGAGTGGCAAATGTTTTCCCTGCGGCTAGAACGGCTACTGAAGGAGCACGTGAATGCCTGTGTTCAACATAACACTGCTTACCATTACTGGGTCTCCTGAGCTGGTTGTTTTGCTTCTGAGTTTTAGGTGCAAACAGTGGGCATTTCCCTAGAGGGTGTAACTAGAAGGTAACCCATTGGCCAGGGGACTTCTGAAAGTGTTTTGTTCTGTTTTTGCTATGCACACCTCCCAAGGGTGCTGTGGCAGAAACTGGGATACTGTCTCAGAGAAGGGACACACTGCTGGCCGAGTCCTTGGGCCAGATGTGTGTGGGCCCCTGCCAGACACTGATTTCCTCTGAGGAATTTAGAAGCAGTTTCTTCCTCCACCTCCTAGCTCTCTGGTCATGTTCATTCCCTTTGAAGATCTGCTAAAGACCTGCAGTGCTTTCCGGTCCAGATCAGAGGAGTGGAGGGCGCTGGGGAGGTCAGAGACTAGCCAAGAGTGAACCTAAGACTCTAGGAATCCACACAGAGCCCCAGCTAATGACACCCCCCCCCCCCGAATATCTCTCAGCCAAGCTCATACATTGCGTGGGCGGGGGCGGGTCAAATGTCACCATAGGGATGGGAGGTGGATGGATTGGCCTGAGGACTAGCCCTGGCTTGACTTCGGACTAACTGAAGTTGAGTCAAGGCTCTTCTGACCAGAGTATGCCATTGCCTCATCTGCACCTCTGTCTTGTCTGACCACAGGGAGCTCCCGTGGCCCTGGGTCTCTGGTTCACCTAGGTGAATGAACCTTCTGGCTGGCTAACCCTACATGCATATGCAGTGTGCCTCCCCACTCCTGCAGGGAAGACAACAATCCCCAGCACAGCACTGAAGGGTCACTAGGGAAGGATCCATCCACAAACTTTGTAGATCAGGCAGAGAAGTCAGCCTGGGGACCCACAAGGTTGAGGCTGTATGGTTTGGGGTTAGAGGTCTGTCTGTGTGTAGTGAGACCCAGACTCAAAACCAAGAACAAATCCCCCAAAGTCCCACTATCTTGTCCCCGTTCTGTAGTCCCAGCTGGATGCTGCTGGGTCTGGAGTGGCTGGCTCAGTTTACATTACAACTGCTCTCACTCTGGTGGGGAGCACCTCTCTCACTGGGTTCTCACTCTGGTGGGGAGCACCTTCTCAACTTGGGGCCAGGCGATGCTCAACAGCTATAGAGTCCTGTATCACTAGAATACTCAGATAATTCCCCAGGGAGTGTGAGACTCAACTAGCCCCACCTACATGCCACCTAGAAGCTGCCCCTACAGGTCTGGCTTGCTGTCACTCTGTCTTAGGGGTAAACCTTAGTGTGGCACTGGGAGCAGCTTTCTCTTGATGGATGAATCAAGTCACCAAGATTGTGCCTTCCATCCAGCAAGTGATATAGTGTCCAGCTACCAACGAATCCAGAAATCTTATACAGCACCCACACCCCTGTTTATTGACACTAGTAAGGTCCTGTCCCTCCATCTGGCTGTCCCTGTCTTCATACCACTCCCTGTCTCCTCCTTTCTCCTCTCTGCTTCTCTCTTCCTTCTTTCTCTTCTCCTCACCCCTTCTTTTATTCCCTCCCTCCTTTCCTCTCCCTTCCTTCTCTTCTCCCTCCGTCATCACCCTCTCCTTTCTCTCCTACATCCACCGGTCCATCTACCCACTTGTTCATCTCACAAATACATAGGCAGGCAGAAGTGAAGAGCCAGTCCCTGCCCTTCGGCTGCGGAGTCATTTCAAAGCACTCCTTATGAAAGCGGTAGCCACTCCTCTCTAGCTTAGCTCGCCTTTTACGCTTTGCTATTGATATGAGCAAATCAGGCTAAACTCTCTCTGAAAGCTCCCTGCGGTGACTGCCTGTGCCATCCTCAAGACCCTGTGTGTTTGTGTGGGAGCTGCAGAGGGAGCCTCAGCCTGGGAGGACTCCAGGCTTTGGCCCCTCCACTGTATGCAAGGAGGGCGGTGGAAGCGACCAGATGTTTCTGTGAGGTCCCCCACCTCCCCACCTAGCCATGGCCCTTCATGCAACATGCAAAGGTTCCCCCGTGCTGCTCTCTTCTCTCTAATAGTTTCCCCAGCCACCTTCATCCTTCTGTGCCTTGGCACCATGAAGCCCCCTCAACTTCCCAAGTGCGGCAGGATCACGTTTAACTTTGGGCCTTTGCAATGGATAAGGTCTCTGCCTCCTAGACAGATGGTAACTCCTGTTTTCTGGGAGGTTGTTTGGAAACTTCTGATATGCTTTTGTGTTCCCCAACTCCTGTGTGTCCCACACCAGCTCTGGACTTTTTCTTGATGGGTTAAGAAACCCACAGGCAGGAAGCTCAATGTTTTACTGCTGTGTATCACCCCACAGAGTGGGCTCACTATAACTGGATTGGAAAAGGGAAAAGTCCTCCCACCCAACCTAACTGGGGTGAAGGAAAGACCAAGTAAAACAGAAGAGCACAAAGCAAAATAGCAGCACATTTGTGGATATCCATCTACCTCTCTGCCACAATGTTCCAGAACATTCTCTGTGTGTCACTGGGTGAGGAAGAAGTCCTCAAAGCTTCCAGAACTGTCCTGTGTTCTTGTCCAGAATTCCATATTTTGATGTTTTGACCAGAAAGCTACCAACCAATGGCCTGTCTATCTATCTATCCATCCATCTATCTATCTATCTATCTATCTATCTATCTATCTGTCTGTCTATCTATCTATCATCTATCTATCTATCTATCTACATATCTATTATCTATCAATCTATTATCTATCTATCTATCTATCTATCTATCTATCTATCTATCTATCTATGTGTTAAAAGAATTTACTAAACAGCTTGTTGACATAGTAACAACAGCTCTCTCACACACCTAAGAGGCTGCGAACCAACCGGTAGTTGTTTGGTCATTAAGCCTGGGTACCTCAGCAGTCCCAGTCTGGCACTGAAATCCAGACAGCTCCTGGAGAGTCATGGGACTCGGTCTCCTACGGAAGCCTGGAAACTCTGGTTCTGATCCCATAGATGGAATCATCAGCAACAGGGTAAATCAACCCAGAGGCAAGGAGGTCAATCAAGCAAAGGATCTTCTTCAGCCAGGCCCCGCCCCCTTTAAATCTGGGCTGCCCAGTAGCTGACATCCATATTTGGGTGGTTCTTCCAACATCAAGTATGACAACTGGGACAACTCCTCCAATGAGACTCCCTAGTCCGGTGTTTCTAATTTGTGGTCAGTTGCACTAAAACCAAGCATCTCCGTGGTGACATGCACAAGTTGGTCCTGACTTTGGTTCTTAGCTTTCAGAAATACGGGTTGTCTGGATGTCACCCTGTAGGGCACTCAGCACTCCCATAGATGGCACGTGTCTCACACTGCCTGTTCTGTCTGGTTCTCCGGGGCTGAAGTCCAGATACTCAAACAGGGATTTTCTACCCAGCCCTGCTGGAACATCATGGAATACAGATTTGGCCTTTGTTCATGGGACTAGGCAGTCTCTGGACCATTCTGTCTCTGAGCACATGATAAGTGACCCCACTGTCCTTTCATAACAATGACAGGAGCCTGATGAGGAAACTGAGAGAGGCTCCCTAACCTCTTCAAATCTTGCACATGTCAATCACCCAGCTGCAGCCTGAGCCTCAGTTGACTCCTCAGTCTCCAAGTTCAAGTACAGCTGAGAAAACCTGGTAACAGCGGCGGCCGGGAGACATTCCCCGGGTAGTGTGCTCGGTCTACAAGCATAAGGACTGGTGTTCAATACCCAGAATGCATGCGAAAAAGACAGGTGTTGTGCTGGCGCCTGTTTTAATCCCTGCAGTGGGGAGAAGGAGAAAGGCAGGTTCCTGGGGCTCCACAGGATCAGCCAGCCTAACCTACCTGACAAGTTCCAGGTCAGTGAGAAAACTTGTCTCCAAAAAAAAAGTGCTTAGAAAATAACACTTCAGGTTGGCCCCTGGCCTACATGTGCGAGCACACACAAACCCTAAGAGTATCAGAATGTGTGTAGTTCTCTAGTGTTTGAGTTCCATGCATAAGATAAAAATCTAAACACCCTGGGAAGAGCACTGCTTGGAGTAGTTAAGAATTTGATGTGGTGTGTGTCTGTGTGTCTGTGTGTGTGTCTGAGTCTGTGTACCTATATGCATATGTGTGTTATATATAACTGGTTTCTTATGCAACATGCATGACATATGTTTATCTTGGTACACATGCTATCGCACAGGGTGGGTTTCTCCTGTTTGTGATCTTAGTGACGGGATGCTGTGTTGAGACGCAAACTCTGGATCTTGTCTGGGGCGTGCTGTACCCCAAGCCACTGAGCTGTCCACCCAGCTCTCCCTTTCCTGTTCTTCTCTTCCTTCCTTTCTTGGAGATTGATCCCAAGACCTCCTGCACGCTAGGCAAGTGTCCCATCACCCCGTCAAGCTACCCCCAGGACCCTTTGCTGTGTTTTCCCTATGGTGCTAACCCTCTCCAGCCATCATGCTAATTTGAGCAGGGCACCCTGACAGGTGACAACGAGGCCAAGTTCACCTGTTTTTCCCTTCTCAGCCTGGCACATTCCATCGGCTCTGCACTGGATTCTACCCTGGAAAAAAAGGCATTCGGGAGTGTGGATTCCTCTTCTCTCCCCGCAGATGTGCTTAGTGTAAGTGGGTAGCCAGAGTAGGGGAGGCATCTGAGCGGGAGGCTTGTAATGGGGTCTCTGGCCATTGATGTTACAGGAGGAATGTCTTCCTTCCACGTCTAAAAGTGCGCCCTGGCATAGATGGGAAGCGTGAGTCGGGGTGGAGCACCCCAACCTCAGACTCACTTTTAACTCTCTGAGTCAGGTACCCCCCCCACTTCTAGTTGAGACCTAGAAGGATCCTCCAGGAAGACAAGTTATACCTCATGAGCTGATGGATGACATCAGGGAGAAGGGATGAAAATTGGGCTCTTTGCTAGAACTTGGAAGGTGTACCCAAGTTCTGATATCTATCCGTTCTATATGTAAAAACTGAGATGTATACAGAAACCCATTCTTGCCCCTGAAGCTATTGTACCTCATGGTTAGGGTACACTGACTGAGTAGACACACTGGGCCCCTTGCCACAGCCCTTAGGAAATACACTGAGCTCCTTGCCCAGGCCCCTTGCTTCAGCACTGAATAGATTTACTGGGCCCCTTGCCACAGGTCTGAGGAGACACACCAGGCTCCTTGCCTATACTTATGGAATGATTGTAAATGAATAAACTTCAAACAAGTGAGGTCCTGGCAATTCCCAGTGTGGGGGAAAACTGGGAAAGGTGCAGCTGGAAGGCCTGACTGTCCTCTGTCCACCCCTCCTAATCTGGGAGGAGGATGCTCGCTTGTCCCTCTGAGGATGGTGCAGCCATCAGTGGCTTGTTGGAAGGCTCCCTCAACACCAGCCGCTGCACTTCCTAACTCTGTCTGGCTTGCTAAGTTGCCAGGAGGCAGGGAGAGGCAGTTACTCACTTCCTGAGGCCAGTGCACTGGCTGGGGCCTTTCCAAGCTGGGAAGTACTTCGCTGGGGTATACAGAGCTGGTTCCCGGCATCGCTCCTAAGCCTGACAGAGCTTGGGAATTCCAGGGAGCCGGTCTACCTGCATCCTCATGCCGTCTTTTCTCTCATGCTCAGGCTCTCCACCCAACTGCCTGACCATCTTGGCGAGAGGCCACTCCAGCCCCTCTCCCTCCCCCATCCTCTTTATCTGAGGCCAAGGCTCAGGAAGAGGAACCCCTCAAGATAGTGGTGGAGCACAGCTTAGATGGGATCTTCTGGGGACTTCTTTAAGGACTCGAAAGGCCTAGAACAGAGGAGGCAGGGGTAATTGGTTGGGGCGTTTGAGGATGCGAAGGGGTGGGTGCCTGAAGGAACTGTTTCTGCCTATTTTCCCTCCCGATTCCAAATCCAGACTTTATCTTCTCGACCACCAGTGAGCAGTGTCATAATGGTTGATGCACAGCAAGCGGGAGTCCTTTAAGATTATCCACATCTGCCTGCTCACCAGATGGCTCCTTCGTTGCCCAGGTCCTCTTGGTCTCTGCATCCACTGTTCCCTCCCCTGCACTCCCTTCCCAACACTTTCTGGTCCTACACAATGACCCCCGCCATCTCTGGGCTGTACCTCTGTCTGTGTCCTCTCAGGTACCAGGACTAGTCACGAGTCAGGGTCCTCCTGCCCTCTGGCCACTTGTCATTGGTGATTTAATACACAGACCCCCCAGGACCCCGTCCTTTCAGAGTGCGACAATCAGCTCTGCCGGTTGTGAGATTAGATAAGAGAGCTGATCGAAGGCCACCAGCAAAGCAGCAGGCAGGCGGCTGGGGGTAGACTACACCAAGGCCAACCTTAGCCCCTGGTGGGCTTGGAACCACAAGTCCCCAATGGGAGCAGTGAGACTAGGAACACCTCCATCAGGAGCTGCCAGGCAGCCAGAAGGCAGCCACCAACCCCACTGCATCTCGTTTTGGGCAGGAGTGCAAAGCACTCCTTTGAGGCGCAGGCTTTCGGTCGGGTTCAACGAAATTCGCAGTGTTGGCAAAGGCCTCGTTCCCCAACACTCCTCCAGCCCCGAGGGGCACGGCGCTCACTAGCCAGTCACCCCACTCTTCTGCTCATCAGCAAGCTCCTGTCTCTACAGAATCACCTGCTCTGCACATCCCATACGTATGAAACCATGCAAACATGGGGACCTACATGCCTAGCCTAAGCTACTCGACAAGCTGGATTTGAAGTCCAGCCTCATCTTAGTAACTATCGGGTTCCAACCTTTTCATGACTAAATAATGTCCATGGTGTGGTCGCTTTCCCCCTGAAGCTGCTCGCTCTGACTGTGGTAGCCGTCTGCCTGGGAGGCACTGCTCGGCCCAGCTTCAGTTCTCTGGTGCTATGCTCAGGCAGCTCCCGAGTTATAGGTCAGCCTAGGCTTAACTTTGGGAGGAGCCGCCAACCTGTTCTCCATTATTTTGGTCCCACCAGCAACACGCTTCTTTTATCTGTCAATCACAGGTAGGGAAATGGCCTGCTGATTCTGGAAGGATGCCTGACCAAGGGGATGTTGAGGTTTCTCTCAGTCTTTCCTCTCCATCAATATCTTTAGGTAAGAAGACCTTCGTGGCTATCTGAGGTCTGATCCCACAATAGATGCAATCACCTTACTGCTGACCAGAGAGGGTGGGTAATCTGCCTGAGGCTGCCCAGCTCACTGGTGGTTGAGGTGAAGCAGGACCTCAGGCCAGCTGATCTAGGGCTCTGCCTGCCCCCGAGAATGGGTCTCTGTCCTCACTTGTACTTTCCTGGGCATTCTGGGACTGATTTCCTGGAGCTGCCGGTCTTCCACTCTTTCTCTCATTCCCTGGTAGATCCTGATTTAGCCCTCCACCCCCACCCCACTCAAGGCCTGGGCCTCCCTGGGAGAGATCTAGATACATAGCATTCCTCTGTTGGAGAGATGAGGTCAGAGGGCCCACAGGCTGGGGGTGGGGGGCTTGGTTAGTCAGGTGCCCTTCATGGCTGAGCGATTCCTCCACTTCACCTTCAGCTGCCTTCTGAGTGTGTTTGTAGCAGTCCCTGGATGGGCAGCTCACACACGGGCATCCCCCAGCCCCAGCCCTGGACAATGCACCCTCATTGTCCAGTTCTAAGTGGGGAGCAATTTGGTCCAGCAATGTCCTGCCAGGTTGCAGGTATTGCCACCATGGGAACTGCTCTCAGGTGGGAACTGAGGCTCACAGTGGCCAACAACGTGGGCTCATGTCTCCACAGCCACCAACTGCTCACAGTGGCCAACAACCTGAGTTTATGTCTCCACAGCCACCAACTGCTCACAGTGGCCAACAACCTGAGTTTATGTCTCCACAGCCACCAACTGCTCACAGTGGCCAACAACCCGAGCTCATGTCTCCACAGCCACCAATGACCAGGATCAGTTACTCTTCTCGGGGGTCTTCTAGTGGACCTAGCTTGTTTCCCATGGCCCCTTCTGCCTCCCACTCCCTACCACATAGCTGCTGATGTGGTTTTTCTTTTCTCTCTTCCTTCCTTCCTTCCTTCCTTCCTTCCTTCCTTCCTTCCTTCCTTCCTTCCTTTCTTCTTTCCTTCCTTCCTTCTTTTCTCTTCTTCTTCTTCTTCTTCTTCTTCTTCTTCTTCTTCTTCTTCTTCTTCTTCTTCTTCTTCTTCTTCTTCTTCTTCTTCTTCTTCTTCTTCTTCTTCTTTTTCCCTGAGATAGGGTCTTCTCATGTAGCCTAGGCTGTTCTTGAATCCAATGTGTGGCCAAGAAAAACCTTGAACTTGTAATCCTCCTGAGTGGTGGGCTAATAGGTGTGCACCACCACAGCCAGTTCATGCAGGGCTGGAAATCCAACCCTGCATACTAGCCGAGCTCTTTACCAAATGAACAACATTCTCAGTCTCTGAAGGGATTGTTTTTATATTCTTTTTTTCCTAATAAACACATATGGCAGTTAGGATTTGCGGTGTCCAGTTCTATGGGTTTTGACAGATGTAGAGTTCTGGGTCTGTCAGGCTTGCTCCAAATACAACACTTAGTCGCTCTAGGTTGGAGCTTTTATGTCCCCCATGTAGTGAACTCCTCCTGGCCTGGTAGCAAACACTACTCTACTTCAAGTCCAGAGGGGTTTTCAAGATGGCCAACCATCTTCCTGTGGTTTCACAGCACTGAGCATATGACCTGAGCCTCCGGTGCTGGTGTCCCCTGCCTCAGTCTCTAGGCCTGACTGCCCACAGCACATGGACACTTTCTGACTCGGTTGAGAGCAGTTCCTTCTGGTCTTGGCTGCCAAGACCAATTTCTCTTCTCTTTCGCTGCAGCCTCCAGAGCCTGGACACCATCCTGGCTTGGGAGATGTCGCCCCTTCGGCATGTCCAACACAGACGCCCAACATGTAGATTGGTGCGCTGCACCAGGTGCCTGCTTGTTCACTCGTTTGCCATGAACTTGTACCTCTGTGGGGATGAGGACAGGGTGCACCTGTGACCTGCCCATCTGTAGGTCATTCAGGTGCATACTCACCTGTCACTCAGATGGCTGCAGACAGCGGTGAACCCAGTTTCTGCCTGACACCGTGCATGAGTTCTTTCTTTAGACCTTTCAGGGTTCCCCAAACTCCCACCCACCAATCCTTCAGTCCATCCATCCATCCATCATCCATCTATCCATCCATCCATCCATCCATCCATCCATCCATCCATCCATCCATCCGACAGATGACAGACAGACAGACAGACAGGGACATGTCTCTCTGCAGGTGAACCCCACTCGCACTCCAGGCTTTAAAAGGAGGAGAGGAATTCCCATTCCTGTGTGTCTTCCTTCTGGAAGCCTCAAGACGGGAGTGGCACTAAGGTTGCTGGTTTCAAGGTACAGAAGGATGGGGCCACCCAAAGTCCGTGGGTGCTAAGATAACCAAGAAGTCCCGACCTCCAGAGCCAGGGCCTCTAGAAAGGTTTCTTGGGGGGGGGGGGTGGAGATAATCAATAAAGGGGGTGAGGAAGCATGGAGCCTCACATTACAGTCATGTGTGGCATAGCAGGGGTCTGAGAGAGCCCCTGAGAGAGGAGGGCACCTCAGAGATGGAAATCCTGATGAACAAGAGGAGAGACCACTGAAGGTCACCCATCCTGTCCTCCTGGCTGGGTCAGGGAAGTGGTAGTGCTGGGAGGATGGGGGAGGGGTGCTCTGGGGTCCCACTTCAGGGTAACACTGAGCAAGCACTTCCTGTTGATCCTGCCTCATAAATAGATACTACCTTCTTAAAGGTCCGGTCAAAAACCTAGAGGGCTGAGGTGGGAACTGACCCAAGGCTCTTTGATGCCAGAAATAGCCAGGGTCCCCCAAGTAGCCTAGACGGGTGGGTGGTAACAGGCACTTCCGGGCTCCAGGCTAGGCACTCTTCCCAGACCTGAAATGACTCAGAAAAAGAGAAGGTGACCTCCTCCTCCTTCCCCCGGGAGGTCGCTTTTTCATTCTGGGGTTTATTGACATTCTGAGCAATAGAATGGAAGAGGGGATGACGTCACATGGAGCCTGGTGAAGGGGAAGTGTTCTGAGTGAGTCACCAGCGGGTCTCTTCCATTAGGTGCTTACAGAATGCTGGGAGGCAGCACCGTGTCTCTGGGGTTTCCGCAGTGGTCCAGCGCTCACGGCCAAGGGTGAAGTTGAGTGACCAGAGGGGCTTCCTAGAAGCCTGGACTGGAGCCCATGCTGCCGGGAACATTACTCTAGAACCTCCTTAGATCTACTCCCGTGCAGGTATGCCTGTTTCCTCGTGTGCTGAGGAGCCCAAGGGTGGCACTGGGTGCCATGCTGTCCCCAAAGCATGAAATCAGGATCCACTTGATGCCACCATCTGAGGAGGGCTCCTGGGGTGTCCATCTCTCTTAATGGCTTTGGCTCCCTCCCAATTGGGGAATCCTGGTCACCTGTGTGTACCCAAGTGTGATAGAAGCTGGGAGAACATTACCAGCCTTCAAGACTTGTCAGATGCAAAATCTGAGTTCAGAAAACATGCAGAGAAGTGAAAGAGACCAACAAGAAAGGGGTCTGACCACCTTGTAGACACCCCAAGCTCGGATCATTCATGGCCACAACTCCTGCACCCGACATAGGAACTCTATGCTTCTTAAAATTATTAGTGTGTGTGTGTGTGTGTGTGTGTGTATGTGTGTGTGTGTGCATGTAGTAGAAGCCATAGGGCAATCTTGGGTGTCATTCCTCATGGACCCTGGCTGCTGGTACTGTTTTAGGAGACCTTTGGGAGTGGGGTGGACTTTTGAAGGTGTGTGTGTGTGTGTGCATATCTGTATATGTGAGTGTTTATAAGTGTATGTGTATGTATGAGTGTGTATATGTCAGTGTGTGTATGTGTGTGTACATGAATGTGTGTATATGTGAGTATGTGTTTAAGGGTGTGAGTGTGTATATGTGAGTGTATGTATGAGTGTGTGTGTCTGTGATGTCTGTTTAAATAATTTTCCTCTTTTTAATTGGGCTGCTTGTTTCCATATGGATGAGTTCAGAAAGTTTTTCCCGAGAGTTGCAGGTCCTTTATCAGATAGATCTGTACTTTGAAAAGATTCCCCTCTGGACTTGATTATGACATTAAACTTTTTATTACATCTTATTTATTTAAGGGTGTGCAAGCATGCAATGACCTCATGTGGAGATCAGAGAACTTGTGGAAGTTAGTTCTCTTCTCCCACATGGGTTCTGGGACTTGAACTTAGGTTGCAAGGCTTGGCAGCTAGTGCCTTACTCTGTTGAGCCATCTTGCTGGTCCAGATCATGACATTTTTAATGAGTAAGAATTCTGTTTATTGTTCATGTGCATAAATGCCCCCTTTTTTTTCTGTAGTGGGTGCAGCATTTTATTCTTGTAAGCATTTTCTTTTCTTCTTTTTTAATTGATTTTTATTGAGCTCCACATTTTTCTCTGCTCCTCTCCCTGTCTCTCCCCTCTCCCCTTCAACCAAGGTCCCCATGCTCCCAATTTACTCAGGAAATCTTGTCTTTTTCTACTTCCCGTGTATATTAGATCTATGTATGTCTCTTTTAGAGTCCTCATTGTTGTCTAAGTTCTCTGGGATTGTGGTTTGTAGGCTGGCTTTCTTTGATTTATGTTTAAAAAACACCTATGAGTGAGTACATGTGATAATTGTCTTTCTGGGTCTGGGTTACCTCACTCAATATAATGTTTTCTAGCTCCATCCATTTTCCTGCAAAATTTAAGATGTTGTTATTTTTTCTGCTGTGTAGTACTCCATTATGTAAATGTACCATATTTTCCTTATCCATTCTTCAGTTGAGGGGCATTCAGGTTGTTTCCAGATTCTTGCTATGACAAACAAAGCTGCTATGAACATAGTTGAGCACATGTCCTTGTAGCATGATTGAATATCCTTTGGCTATATACCCAAAAGTGATATTACTGGGTCTTGAGGAAGGTTGTTTCCTAATTTTCTGAGAAATTGCCATACTGACATCCAAAGGGGGCTGTACCAACTTGCATTCCCACCATCAATGCAGAAGTGTTCCTTTTATCCCACAACCTCTCCAGCATAAGTTGTCGTCCATGTTTTTGATCTTGACCATTCTTAAGGTGTAAGATGGAATCCCAGAGTTGTTTTGATTTGTCAGTAATTTCTTAATTAAGGTTTGATAGGGAAGAGCAAAGCTCATTGTGGGTGGTACCATCACTGGACTGGTGGCCCTGGGTTCTATAATAAAGCAAGCTGAGCAAACCATGAGGAGCAAGCCAGTAAGCAGCACCCCTGCATGGTCTCCGCATCAGCCCCTGCCTCCAGGTTTCTGCCCTGACTTCCTTCGATGATGAACAGCAATACAGAAGTATAAGCCAAGTAAACCCTTTCCTCCCCAACTTGCTTTTGGGTTATAGTGTTTTATCACAGTCATAGAAGCCCTATTGGTACCAGTTGGTACCAGGATAGTGGGATATTGCTATGACAGACCTAACCATGTTGTTTGGGGGAGGACTGTGGAAGGACTTCGGAACTTTGGGTTAGAAAAGTCCTTGAGTGTTGAGAGCTCAGTGGGCTGTTCTGTGGGAGCTTGAAAGACAGGAATGTTGAAAGCAGGGCAGACAATGGAGGCCTGGCTTGTGGAGTTTCAGAGGGAAGCAAAGACTCCACCAGGCCTTTTGTGTGAAGAATCTGTAGTTCTGGTTAGCTGGGTTTGAGGGATCAGCTGTGATTAACAGGATACAGAGCCACTAAAGTGAAGCCTTTGCTTTGCTGGGACAGTTGATGCTGGTCGGCTGGAGCAGAGAAATTAGCGGTGATGAAGAAGAGACCAGCAACAGAGATGGAATCTTCTGGGAAGTGTTTCCTGAGAGTCAGCACACAGAATCTGTGTTCCAGAGGTGGCCAAGGTTGTACCTTGTGCTGGCAGCTGAGCTTGGTAACGTGTAAGAGTCACCCAGGTGGTATTGGCTTTGAAGGCATAAAGGGGTCATGGAGAGCAGCGAGGCTTGGCACTGTGAGAGGCCAGGAGGGGCCATTTGGTAAAGGTGCAGCATCAGTGGCAGTTAAAGGTCCAGGCCTTAAGGGGTCATGCAGGAAAGGTGAGACTTGGCACCAGGAAGAGAGCCTAGGAGAGGCTATTGGTGAAAGTGCAGCTATTGCAGCAGAAGAACCCAGCATTTGGAGATGCCAGCACCATGGGAAGACCACCCAGAACAGAGAGGTGGAGGCTGCTAAGCCTGGAAGCCAAGCTGCGTGTGCTGCAGAGGGCAGAGTCAGAGAAGTCACCCAAGCCCTTCAGAGGAGCGCAGGAGATCGTGAGTGAGTCCGACATTGGATGCTGCATCATTTATACTTTTGAGGTTTGGTTTTGCTTTGCTTTGATTATAGCTGGGCCCTGGTTCTTTCCTCTTGAAGTAGGAAATTAATTTAATTTTGATTTTTTTCTGAGCCCACAGTTGACAGATTTTGAAACTGAAAAAAAAAAACAGAGAGACATTTAAATTTCTTTCTTTTCTTTTCATTTTTTTCCAGTTTGTCAAGACAGAGTTTCTCTGTGTAACAGTCCTAGCTGTCCTGGAACTCGCTCTGTAGACCAGGTTGGCCTTGATCTCACTGAGATTCACCTGCCTCTGCCTCCATGAGTGCTAGGATTTAAGGCATTCACCACCACTGCAGGGCAGAGATTTTGAATTTTTAAAGAAACTGGATATTTAAAAAGGACTGAACTTTTTTGGGGGCAGGGTTAAGACAGGGTTTCTCTGTGTAGCCCTGGCTGTCCTGGAACTTACTCTATAGACCAGACAGGCCCTGAACTCAGAGATCTTCTTGCTTCTGCCTTCTGAGTGCTGGGATTAAAGGTGTGTACCACCAACACCTGGTAAGAACTGAACTTTTAATGTGTTTGAATTTATGAAAACTGTGGGACTTTTAAAGTTTTTTTTTTATGTTTTTAACATGAGATCTTAGGGATGAATGAGAAAGGAGAGGTTCTGGCTTAATGGTGATGTGTTCGTGTGTCAAATTGACAAGGGTCAATTGTGCTGGACTGTGTTATGTCAACCTGACACAAACTAAAGTCATCTGATAGGAGGGGACCTCAATTGAGAAAACACCTTCCTAAGACCTGGGCTGTAGACAAGCCTGTAGGGCAATTATTAGTGATTGGTGGGGGAGTGTCCAGCCCATTGTGGGTGTGGCCATCCCTGGGCTGATGGTCCTGGGTTCTATAAAGAAGCAGGCTTAGTAAGCCGTGAGGAACAAGCCAGTAAGCAGCACTCCTCCATGACCTCTGTATCAGCTTCTTCCTCCAGGTTCCTGTCCTGTTTGAGTTCCTGTCCTGACTTCCCTCCGTGGGTGTAGTGGAAGTGGAAGTGGAAATAA